ATAAGAGAGGGCATGCCTCAGCCCGAGGCATGCCCCCCAGGGGCATGCCCAAAATTTTTCCCGTGCCCCCAACCCTAGTTTAATGAATGTATATTAAACATCATTTATATATCGTATCAACTATGTTCTAAGTAAAAAATGGTCGAACCTTACATTAATCTAAATTTTAATCTCTAATACTAACCCTTAACCTATAACAACACCCTAACCCTAGCAAAACTATTAAAACATGTGTTGAACACCAGTGATGTGATTTAGTGTAGAATATATACCGTAAATGAGATGTTTCCTTTCTGCATTTAAAGAAGATCGTCAGCAAGAAGAAATATATGCGTAAATCTTAAAAAAAAACGAAACAATATTATGCATCAAAAAAAAAAACTTGGTTGTCTTTGTGGCGATATGGAGTGATCATTATAGTGTGGGTGACCAGATCATTGTCGTTATCGGTATGGTACGAGAATGCACAAAGTACCTACATATGTTACGTCAACACTACGTAATTTACTAATTATCAATCTCTTGGATGGTGTCATAGTGAACTGAATCCAGATTTAGCGGTTTATTTTTATACGTAAAATATTAATGCGGTAATTTAAAGCCCCGATTAATCATTTTTGATTAAAAGAAACTAACGCTAATCACTATTTGCTAAATATTTCGTCACTGAATTCCATATATATTTATATAAATATGCTCACTGTTTTTTCTTTTTTGCTTTTCGAAACGAAATAAATCAAAATAATGGCAATCTCACAGGACGACTCGCGCGTACTTTTCAAGCCGAAAAATAGTCGGGAGGAGTTTTTCGTGTATGCAGATCCTGATATGGTAAAAGAAAAAGGTTTCCTTTTCTTTTCTTTTTTTTTTTATATCATTAAATATGCGCGAATTCTATGGTTTTTCACATGTAGGTCCAGCAATGGCGCAAGGATAAAACAGTTCCTTTAGTTAATGTCGTTCAATGTAATGTTATAAATAAATTATCATTTATGTTATATCTTGATTATTGATTATCGGCTTCGTTGATTTATCGACTGTTATATAAATATGAATAATACTTTTTTTTAGGTTTTGAAATTTTCGAAACTTATAATGGTGGTAAGGACGGTATCGTTGGACATCCATCAAAACAAAAACTTGAAAATGCTTTTGGAACTTCCGATAATCAAGAAGTTATACAACAAATCATTCAAGAAGGCGTAATTCATAATGCTCATAAAGGTCATGAGAGACCAACTTTAAAAGATCAAAAAGGTAGTTATTTCTTAATGAATAATTTTTATCTTATTTTTTTTTTTTTTTCCATTGATGGTCTTTAAATTATTCTATTTTAAACAGCTGTGATGAATGAATCGCGTGGAAGAGGTGCTGCGACAAATTAGTTTCATAATAGAAATTCAATTTATAGTTTTTTTCTATAAACAAGCACCTTTATTACAAGTATCTTCTTCATTATGATTAAATAATTCAAGCAAATATTATTTTATAAATGTTTTCATTGTTAATACTGTACTGTAAGTTCAATTGAAAGGGCAAAAAATAAAGTTTAAAGTTCAAATTGTTTCATTTCAATCATTTAGATGCATTATTACAGTTTTTACATCAAAGTATAGGATGTTTCCTTTATATTTCATACGTAATCATAAAAAAAACCCCATCATTGTCATTGTTAGTCACTTTTGTGTACATATAATTTTTTTTTTTTTTTTTTTTTTAAGAAGCTAAAAAAAATGGTATGGTCTCAAGCACTTCCGTATAACCTTTTTTTTAACCGTGCCCAACGTGATCGGCATGCATCCTCTGAGCGTTGCATCATAATATTTTCAGATATTTGAATCCATGAAGGAGTCAACGAGTCTAGTACTGCATCTATAAGTAATTTATCTTCATCTGAAGTCCAAGGAGACATCTTTGTGGTAAGATTATTTGAGGGTAATTTGGGTTTAGGAACATGAAGTGAAAGATTTAGTGAAATATTTGAAGGCAAAAATGTTGGGGATGGTGGTGAAGATGATGTACAAGATGAAATAGTTTCCGCTGTAGTGAATTCGGGTGAATTTAATTGACTATGAGAAGATTCTGAAATGGTAGCAAAATTTTTTTTCCTGGAAAATCGAATGTCTGAAAATTCCTTAACATTAATGTTAACGTTAATTATTTTATTTACCTACGTTAAAGGTAAATAAATCACCATTAATAAATTAAAATGAAAAGATACCTGTTCTTCAATTTCTGGATCAACTAGAATTCCTTCTTCATCTGTATCATAATCAGCACAATCTTTCTCTACTGCCTTTTTAACTATCTTACTTCCTTCTGATGGAATCATAATAAATTCATCATCTACTTTATGATTCATGGACGTTTCACGTGATTTATAGTATGGAAAATAACCCAACATTTTCGACAGTAGTTGTTCTTCATCAGATATTTCAGAATCAATAATCTCATGATCTTCCTCGAAACCTTTAGATTTGATTAGTATCATTAAAAAAAAAAAAGATAAAAATAATAATAATAATAAAAAAAGAATTTTATAATGATAATTAAAATTTTATTTACCTGCCGTATTGTCAATTCTCGTTTGATTCGAATCAATGCTCGTCATACGTTGAATGGTACCATTTCCCTTTGGCATCCAGCCTTTTGTTTTTGGAATATAATCTGAATTATTTATTTCAGTGATTTCTTTGCTTCTAGTCATGGATATTTTATTATCGTGATAATCATTATCACCGAAATCCGTTTGACATTCATCGATGGATTTTACACGATTAAGAACACCATATCTTCTGTTCAATACAAGATATTGATCATTGTGATCAACAAATATAGGATGCGTGTGTAAAAGTGTTGGCATAACAGATTTTTCGTCCATTGTTGCAGTAATATCCATTGATGCCACTAAATTAGAAGACTCTATTTCTTCTGTTTTTATATTATGATTTGGAACAATGTCTTCATTAATACCTTTAACTATAGTATTTAAAAGCGAATCTTTGAGACTCATCGCTTTTTCACGGACTGATTTTCACTCTTTGGATAAAGCGACATCAACGATTATCCTAAAGAGTCTCACGATGAATTATTTCTAATTCTTAATATTAATTATATGATCTTTTTATAAGAGTTATTTATAGGAATAGTAAGTGTGTATATCAGACTATTTTCATTCAAACAGAATTTTTAAAAGATATAATTTTTGTTTCGTAATTTTGAAGTAATATATCACACTTTATGATGTATTGTAGTTTGATACATAAAAAATTTGGTTTACCGAATGATGAATAATAACAGCCTATACCCGAAATCATTTATAAAAGTATTAACCTTTCCAATCTCACTTAAACGTAATCCGAGTGGCTTAAATTGCTAATATAATTAACTTTAATCTACTAAATAATAATATCACTTATCCGCACAACTATATACAAAGTATTGAAATAAATTTCTTACACTGTTTTTGTCTAATTATATTGATTATACTTATATTGAATATATTTATATTTTGGTATATGACGATTTAATTATCACCATATGAGTAAAATGTTTATCCCCCCCCCATTTATTTATCTTGCCTAGAATGTGTTTTCCGGTGCCTAGTTACTTGATCAGGTCGTGAAAATTTTTTCTTGCACGTTACCACAGGACATTGAAATGGACGTTCGCCAGTGTGTACTCGCATCTAATTACAAAAATTAATATATCAAATTAACAATATAATAACCATAATAATAATAATATACAGTCGCCTCCGCAATAATCGCATGGTGAAGTAAAATCCTTCTATGTACTTATTAAGGAATCGATGAATTTTACATATACATCAAGTAGAAGTTAACGCGACCACGTATAGTCGCGGGTGAGACCTATATATCAGGAGGCGACTGTAATATTAAGACTAAAGTTTAAATTAAAGCTCATTACATGTTTTGTAAGGTTTGATGATTCAGCAAACCGTTTCACACATCCTTCATGTTTGCATTTAAATGGCTTTTCACCTATAATTAAAAAAAAAAAAAGAAGTTTTTTACTATTATAAATTATGGCAATATACCTTTCTCAGAACCATAGAATGCATAAATTACATACCAGTATGAACTCGAAGGTGTATAGTTAGCGCTCCAGAAATAGAAAATTCACGACCACAATTTGGTTGTGGACATTTAAAGGGACGTTCGCCTGTATGTGTTCTCATATGCTGAGTCATTATGTTAGCTTCTGAGAACCTCTTTTTACAGATTGTACATTGGTAAGGCTTATCACCTAAATACATATATATATTATATAGAAGCAAACATGAGATTCAAAAAAACTTTGATTATATGGGCTGCCGTCAATAGAAATCAAGCAGATCTACATTTGAAAAAAAATTAATGCCTTAACTTTCACAGCTCATA